GAAGTAACTTGAGGTAACTTCGAACTCAGCAGCAAGATCTAAGACACTTGTGTCTTCTATCATCCATCCATTTATTTCAGACGAACAACTGTTTCAGACAATTTTCCTACATGCTTTATCACCGAAAGAAAGACGACGATATTTTCCTTTCTTTCGCAAAGGAATTGTTAGTTGTTCATGTTCAACAACCAATCAGCTATCAGCACCGAATCTCCCGTCATCAACCATCATTTGTACTGGAGAATTAGTTTCCCCTTGACAGTGGTAACCCAAAAACGAGCTGCGTTGATTGCCTGTTTCATACCGCTTGACAAAGCAGAAAAATTGTTCCAAAAAGTTGTTCTTCCGAAATGCTTTAAATGTGTGATACGAGCTTTCGTCTCTCTTTGGTTCACTTAGAACAACTGCAAGCTTTTTTACTTCCTTGTACGAAGTAAAGGAAGTATTGTAATGGAGGGACGGCAACTCATGAGTGGCTGCCCTGCGTATGTGGCTAATCGGGCCCGACACTCCTATCTGGTCACTCGCAACGGCCGTATGTTGGGAGTGGACAGTATGCGGGACATGACCTGGCTTCGCAGGACTAGAATCCTATTACTATGGTAGTGCGTTCAGCCCAGGACTTAAAGAGCTAGCTCATAGAACTTTACCCGCTGAAACAGGAAGTAAGACGTGATGACGTAGTCATATTGATACTGAACGCGGAAATGCAATTCACAGCATAGGATTTAGCGTTTTTAATTTGAAGATTCAACGTTTAAAATGAACTGTGTGTGAAAAACAGCTATAATTGGGAAGAAACAATGTTATACTGTATGCATTTTACACTGAAATTTAAAAATTTTAAAAAAGAAAATCTGAATGGTTTCAGATTTTAAATTACGTCCAAAGTGGCGTTTTTTTAGCATTTTGTCTGTTACCTTTATTTATTAAATATCATGTTCTTCGCACTTAAACCATAAAATTCAGTTCAAGAGCAATATCGCAAAATAATTTTAAAATGAGCATTAGTTTAGCATTTTCCGAAGGTGCGATACATAGTCTCGCCGCGCTGGAGATAAAAAAAAGTTTTTACTGTACAACGTAGAGTGTTGCCATTGGCTCGCTTTGAAATCCTTGAGTTTGTTAATCAAAAATTCGTTGAACGTTTTGACAAAATAGGAAATCGATAATAAACAAATTCCAAATTTCAAATTTGGGCTTCCAGATGCCCATATTCGCAGTAGGATTACGTCATTCAAAATCTGGATGGCTCTAGGTACCGTTGTTTTATTATACAATGCGCGAGAAACATACATACATTTATGCAGATTCTTCATTATTTAATTTCTTCAAATATAATACAGGGTGATAATATTTGGTGACAACAGTTTGAAAAGTGAAACGGACATTCGAAGTGATTCGACGCAAAATCGCAAAACGAAAACAAGAGTCCCTCAGGGACAAAGCCCCTTTGTACTCAATTTTAAAATAATAGATAAAATGCTCTACTCTTTTAACATAAAGTTCCTTCTTTTTTAACTTGCTGATTTTTTTAAATTATTTATAATCATCTCTTTATCTACATAATGTCTGACAGAATTCTACTACTGCTTCTAATACGACTATAATGACAGCTAATTAAATTTAGTCAAAAAACACTCTTAGATTATCATAGTTTTAAAAATATATGGCAATTCTATTATTCCTGCTGCTAAAGAACTTACGTTTGATTGCCCTTGAAATCGATAGCTTCATTCAAAATTTCTGCTAATATAAGTTTGATTTTTTTTTCCCTAATCGTGAATTTTACATTGGCATATTTCTCTTCTGATTCAATTAAATAATAGATATTTTTTAAATAATTTTGTAACTTATACTTAATCTATAAGATCTAGTTGTGCACCTCTCTTTTTTTTTATTGCAATCGGATGTAGTACGTATATATGTACATGTGTCCAACCCCTTTTCTGCCTTAAAAGTCCTTACCTGGCATTTATTTTCGCAATGGTCGGTTGAAGTCATATACTTCCAATTACAGAAATGTTTCAAATGACGGAAATGTTCATGTTTGGGGAATGTCAAATTTTAAAAAAATAATAATAATAATTTTAGATAAAAAACGAATTTAAATTTCAATGTGGTCTTCCGGTTCCTATACTTTAGAATACACTTTTTATACATTTGGTAAAGTTTTATACTCGTTATGAAAAAATAAAATTATGAAAAGTTTGACTCCCCGCTACGACAAAAATGGACCGGGATATTTAATTTCAAAATTTGCAATTTTTGGTGTCATTTTCAATTTGCTTTGAGAGATCAGTTAATTCAGTTTGATTCGAGAAAACAAATTTAAACGAAGTGCAGCAAAAAATGTGTATAATTTAATAAGCTGTACAAAGTAATCATGTGGTATCCACAGCAGATTTTTTACTACTGCTATTAGATCTCCATTATTTTAGCAGGTTCTTAAAGTCACAAATAAGCCTAAACACATCATAGCAATGATTTAGGTGTTTAAATCTTTCTGCCAAAGACTAATGCTTTTCCCTAGTTCTACTTTTAACATCACTAATTTGAGCAACAACCCCTACAGATATAATCAGTTTCCATACTTCTTCAGCTTTTCTAAATCCATTTTCGGCCCACCAATAGCCGATTCGAATTCGCATGGTCATTTCCTTGGTTTTGTTTCGAATGTGCAAAGCGGAATACGAGCCAGTTTATCTTATAAAGTTGTTCACAAAGGCATTCTTCTTCCTAAGCAGATAGCTTCGTGTGCTTTGACATAATATGCCAAGCCTAAATCTATTTTCTCGGAACCCTCAATATTACTCAGCGTGACATATACGGAATGATTCAAAACTAGAGGAACAGACTTCTAGCAGGGGTAGTCTATAATTCGAAGCAAATATGAATACATCGTGATCGCAAATCGGCACTTAAACATCATAGGCTTCAAATTAGTCATTTTTCTGATAAAGTTGCCCGAAGTTTCGTAATGCGGCGTGAGGCACGGAATCTCGGACGTTCTGAAATACACTGGGGGCTTCGAAATGACGCATCTTCGTGGCTATTGCGAACGCCGGTTGGATACCAGCGGATACGTTCAGGTAATGCGCACTACTGTTTAAATAACTATTTAATTATTAAAATAAATACGAAAAATCAGGTACGTGTAAAATTAGCCTACAGATCAAGCTACCAAAAATTTTTATTTATAAAAGTTACAGAATTATTTTCTTAAATGTAAAAATGCTTATGAATGCATTAATTTCTTTATAACTGTTTTTAATTTGCATTCTAATCACGTATGAAATTTTCTCGTATTTTGTTCTTTTTTATTTGCCGTGTTTCATCTGTAGAAAGAAATAGTTAAAGAAATTAAATAATGAAGAATCTGCATAAATGTATGTATCTTTCTTGCATTGTGATAAAACAACGGTACCTAAAAACATCCAATTTTGAATAACGTACGTCTCCACCCGAATATGAACATCTAGAAGACCAAATTTGGAATTTGCTTTATTATCTATTTCGCATTTTGTAAAGCACTTATGGCAACACGGTACGGAGGGGGAAAAAAGCTCTTTTATCTCCAGCGCGAGCGACTGTGTATCGAAGAGTCTAAAGATATGTTCAATTTAAAATTATTTTTCCATATTGCTGAATTCAATTTTATGGTTTAAGTGCAAAGAACATGATATTTAATATGAAAAAAAAAGGCAAGCCACAAAACGTTAAAAAAATGCCCCTTTAGGCGTAGTGTAAAATCTGAAAGCTTTCATATTTTCTCGAAACGGCATTTTGCATTGAATCACTATAAACAGCGGATCACTTTTCAAATTGTCATCACCTAATATTATTGCCATGTGAATAAGAAATTAAATAATAAAAATCTGCATGAATGTCAGCGACAGCATAAAAAACCTTAAGAAAACTTTTGGGTGACCGTTAAAATCTGAAACCTTCAGATTCTCTTCTTTATATATATATATATATATATACCACTTTCCCTAAAATTTCTGCAATTTATTTCTGTTTTAGAATCCAAATTAGAAGATTTAATTACCCTGAGTTTTGCTGAAAAAAATCATAAAAATAGAGCAGCGTTGTTTTACGTTCAATAGAGGCAGTATTATAAAAGTCGACTAAATATTTACTTTCTTTTAAATAAAATTAATCTCTGCTATCAAATAAAATTAAACCTCAAAAATAATTTTGAAAAACATCATTGGCTATATCTGACTTTCTTTTTGTAACGTAAATTAGCATAAATACGAAAAAGGAAAGTGTTTATGGCAAAAGTAGAGAAATGTGAAAACACCACATCTTTAAGGAAATTGAAGAATTATCTAGTGCGTGTGGCTAACTTGCTCGCTTTTCTAATTATGAAACTAAACTAGCTATATATTGCAGATTTTGGGGTAGTTTCCATTTCTGTAGTGGCAATGAAAGTCGTTTACAGAGAGACACCGCTCTCGGACCATTGTGCGTGAAGCAAAGAACTTATGTTTGGCGGCAATGGAGCAGCCTGGATGTGATGGTAAAATTCTAAACATTTTGACAAAAGAATTACAGCTGTGATGTTGACGTATTATTTTTGAATTTCTAAACTGGAATTTCAGTACAGTTTTAAAATGCAAAAATATTGTTTTATTGAGCACTTCAGCCTAATTTTATTAATGTTTAAGCTTGACGAAAGCACATCACAAGTTCGGGATCCTCCGGGTCTTTTAAATCGGCCTTGCAATCAAATATTTTTATGTATTGCAATTTATGGTATTGAATCTAATCGCTAAGAAGTTTTAGAGTTTACGATGGTGGCGTCATCTATCGATAAGAACTGAAAACGACAGATTTTGCCGACATTATGTAACGTACGATAACATAAATTTCGTAACGGTTACAATAGCGGCGCAAAGTATAATCTGGCAGGCTGTGCTAAAAGAGTCAAATGTATAATTAACTAAGATAACATAAGTAGATTTTGTTGGTGCTAAATGAAAGTAATGAAGCAAATACTTCCTACAGAAGATTTATTTCAAAATAAATTGTAATGATGCTAGTCATTATTTTACAGAAAGGAATGAAGTTTAATGTTCAAGCTCATAAACTTGAACTTAAGGAAATATTAAATATGATTAATCGTCATGGACATGAAAAAAATAACTTAATATACAACATAATTAATGGAATAAGAAATATTCTTGATACATATATTAAGTACGCAGATTTAAAGCAGTGACTTGATTCTTCACTTGTGTTGAAGTCTTTTCAGATCTTAGATGGACAGTTCCAGCTTCTAAGAAGTTGTTCTCAAACTTCTTGAGATACCAAGAAAATTATCAGTTAAAAACTTTCTCAAACATAAATTTAAGGAAAATTAATTATTGAGCAATTTTTTTCCTCAAACTCATTCAAATTCAAAAACTCCAACATAATCATTTGCACTGACTGCTCCAAATTTCTGCAAAAGCAATTGCCATTTCTTCAGTTTCACTTTTCTTCTTCCATCGAAAATTAATAAGTTGATACTATATCATTCAAATGAAATCACTTTTAACAACCATTATTCCTTGCACAATTATTCGTATCAGACGTATTTTATTATAACTTATCATATTCTTAGATTCAGATAGATCTGTGTCATTCATGTAGCATCTTGATAAAGCCTTGAGAAAATAAAAAGCAGGGCTATACCAGCTGCTGTCAACCAAAACATAAACTTCCAATGACGATTCCAGAACTATTAAAAAAGAAAAGAAAAAATATTATAATTATTGTTTTACTCTGTATTACAAATTAGCAAACTATAAATTAAAGAAATGTGTATGCAGTGAAAATTTTGGATAACTGATGCATCAAAAAAAAATTAACATTTCCGAGTCTCCCGTTCTACTCGGCCGATTAAAGAAATTTAACTGGTGTTTTTTATGTCTCGAAAGCACGACATAGGATATATATTAGATTTATATATAAATATTTTTAGACAAAATCGGACTTTTTCAGGAATGATATACCTATTTTTTTCCATATTTCAATTCTATGACTCAAGTTATGCCAAGGTATCAAGATCTGTAAACACTGTACGAATAGATTTTAAAATAATTAGCTCTCAAAAATTTAGCTCCTCAATGTTAATTTAATTTGGTAAATATTAATGAATATTTTTGTATTAAACTTACTCGATTCTTTCTTTCATAATTCGAAAATTCAGGTTCACTCCAATAAAATTCGCAGATATTTTCTAATTTATTTCTATAAATTTGTATTTTTTAGTGATGTGATTTTTATAATTTTTTCGAAAATATTTTTGAATTGCATTTAAAAAAAAATGTTTACCATCACCTTAAAGTAATAGCCGTATATGCAAGAAATTAAGAGTTTGTTATTCAAAATTTCCCAACATATAAGTGAATTTATACAGTGGCACATTCTGAAATTTAGGATATTTGGTATAAGCGATAATAACTTCAAATGTGGTTTAGACACTCTGTTAAAATTAATTGAAAGAAGGCTGCACCTCTCCCCCCCCGCTTGTACACAATAAAAGGGAAAGAACAATATGTTACAATAAATTAAGAATTTTCGCCCAGTGGTTTTTCTTGCAGAAAACTCAAAAAAGTGGGCCAAGATAAATTTTTTAACTTCTCTGTAAGTTTCTCGCCCAAATTTTACAAGATTTGAAATTAGGCATAATTTTAGTCGTAGAATCGAAGTATGGAAACAATCTGCATGTCACTTCAGAAAAGTCCGATTTTGTGTCAAAATGCCTATGTTAGAACAATTACTACATGTAAATCTAACATATATTCAACGTTACGCTTTCGGGACATAGAAAAATAAAATTAAATTTCGTCAATCCGCCTCGTAGAGAAAAAAAAATATAGAACTGTCTTCTTCTCCCCTTCCCCTTTTTTTTTTTTTCATTGGTTCTTAACAAATTGGTTTCTATTGTACATCAACAGCAATATTTTGTATTTATTTGCTTATACCTATATGTTTCATGCAATTATATAATATTATGCTATTTTCACATTATTTGTACATGCTGTTTTGCATTATTTTGTAATATGCTTCTGCTGTCGCTCATTCGTACCACACTGAGTGAGTTAGCTCGATTATATATATATATATATATTTATTTAAACAAATTTAAATTCTTAACAAATACGTATAAAAGTAAAAAAGTAAAAAAGCAAATTTTAATTCTAAAAAAAGAAAAAAGCCAAAATAATTTAAAATAATTTAAAAATATGCAAACATGTAAAAGATTTAATTCTCGAACTAATCTACAATATCATTTAAATTCAGAAGCATAAGCAAATCAATTCAAAATCTATCCATGAAAATAAATCTACTAATTTAATAAATTAAAATTAAATTAAACAATTTTTTTTAAAAATTGCATATGTGAATGATCGTAGAGTAGGCGGAGACAGACTTATCAAGGGGAAGTTGCTCCAAACCTAACTCTCCAATCATTCAATTCGTGTTTCGTCATCATGCAGGCAGGGTTAAAAGTCAAAACCAAAAGTTACATTTAACATTTAAGAATTAAAGTTCAAAAAGGAAAATACTAATTAAGTCTTTTGATAAAACAAGCAAGTTAAAGTCAGAATTAAACTTTTTCTTAAAAAATTAATTTTTTATAAAATAATAAAAAAATCTAGAAACCAATGTATTGCAATGGAGTCTGTAGAATCGTAGGATACGAACTGCGCGAAGTTTAATTTAAGACCCCCCTTCTTATATAATCCATGAACTGCGCGACGTTTTCCTGTCCCCTCCTCCTAAGAACTTGAATTCCCAAGAAGATGGGTGCTACAAAATGTCATTCATCGTCATTAATGGGACATGTTATTGAGACTACAAACCTCTATTTTCGTTTACCAGATATTGTAAAAATTACGCATACAAAACAAATATTAATTTAAAATCTGGCATGTGCTAAAGTAAAAATGAATTTCTTTTACACTCATTTTAAAGTTTTATGATGCTCAAAAGAATAATGCGTCAGATCTTTTTATTATCTATAAAAATTAAAAACTTTCCAAGTTGTATATTTTAGCTGCTGATATATATATTATCAGTTTTGAATAATAAAATTCATAGATTAATGACATACATAAAACGGATACATAATCAACCTATCAAATATCAGATTTGTAGAGCACCTTAAATAAGTTTTCTTGTCTAGATAAATATTAACAAATCTTCTGAGATAGCAGAATGGTTTTTAACTTTCAAACCAAAACAGTTCTAAATTAATTTTTAAAATTCTCTTTATTAAATCTAAAAATTGGATTTTTTAATTGTTTCTAAATTCACACTAATGTTATTGCAATATATGCCTTATTAAGCTTTCCATTTTTAATCATTGAAGTTATTTTTAAAGTTATTTAACTTTCTTACAAATTCCATATTTTAATATTAGAAATGTTTAAATATTTATTCTGTTTTCCATTTACTCTACCTGATGTACTTTAACATACATTTAATTTCTAATACACATGTAATTAATAAATTGATAATTATGAGCAGCTGCAGAATTTTCATAATTAACAGAAAAAATGCAATTCAAACTTCCTTGTATTCATATGTTGGGATTTTCAGTTCCCTTTTAATCCATTCCTTTCTCACATATTGTTGCACTGTATTCAAGTTTTCATGTATGTAGAATTTAAATATTTTGTATTCTATTTATGCCAATTTGTATTTAAATGATATTTTTTATAAATTCTTGCATCATAGCTCTAGTTAACAGATGTTTCTAACACCTTGGTAAAGCTTAATCTTCAGCATGCAGCTTATTTTCCAATCTCGTTTCAGGCTAAATTATTTGTAAAATAAATTATTTGAAATTATTTGCAAACAAAGATGGTCGCTAAATCACACTAATAATATTTTTAACTGTTGTAATTTATAATGCAACGAGTTCATGTGATTTATAATGTATAATTCATTTATAATTTTTTTTCAGCAGCATTGATATTAATAGCAGATACTGATAATATTATACATTTAGATTAGAATGATTTAGTTTGCCATTGCCTTCTTCGTTGATGCGTTTATGCTACATTCCTAATATTTCCTAATGCCATACAGATACGTTTAACTCATTTAGCAAACATGCAAATCTCTAATTCAGCCCACTTTTGTTCTTACGTGTGCTGCAACTTCTATTTTCTTTAATATATTGTTGAGCCTAACTTCAAAAGGTCTTATGATCAAGCGGAAAAGTCACTAAACATTGATAGTTCGACCCGAGTTTATAATCCCAGAGATACTCCCTAGCTCTTTCTTTTTTTGTACTTATTTACTCTGGGAAAATGTATTGAATTTCAGTTCATGAAGCAAAAATGCTTCTTTAATTTATTCTTTAAAAATACTGCAAGAATTTTCACCTTTACCTTAACATATCTCTTTAAAAATTCCTTTAATAAGGAAAAAAAAAAATCTGAAATGTTTCAGATTTTAAATTACGTCCAAAGGGGCGTTTTTTAAAATTTTGTGTGTTACCTTTTTTATTAAATATCATGTTCCTCGCACTTAAAACCATATAAGATCCACTGCAACAGCAATATCGCAAAAAATAGTTTTTAAACGAGCCATATCTTTAGAATTTCCGATACAGAGACTCACGCGCTGGAGATAAAAATGTTTTTTCTGCACAAGTTGCCATTGCTCGCTTTGAAATCCTTGAGTTTGTTAATCAAAAATTCGTCAAAGTTTTAAAAAATAGGAAATCGATCATAAAACAAATTTCAAATTTGATCTTCCACATACTCATATTCGTTGGAGGATTACGTTATTCAAAATTCGATGACTCTATGTACCGTTGTTTTATCACAATACGTGTAGTGTGGTGTGGTGTATGGTGTATTTAATTATGGCAAAGCACACTAGGGCTATCTGCCTAAGGGGAGGGATGCCTTCGTGGAGACTTTAAGGGAAACTGGCCGTATACACGTTACACAGGGGGGAAAACCACGAAAACGCCCATGCAGGCCAGCCCGTTTCGCGGGATTCGAACCTCGGACCGAACTACAGTGCTCAGCGACTTTACGCTCAGCGCTGGTGGGCTTTATTCACAATACGAGAAATTACATACATTTATGCAGATTTTTTCATTATTTATTTCTTCAAAATATGCAGGACTCTAACATTTTGTGGCAACAACAGTTTTAAAAGTGAACCGACATTTATGAGTCCGACGCAAAATGCCAAAACGAAACTAATAGTCCTTCGGGATTCAAATCCCTTTGGACTAAAAATAAGGAAAGAAATTAGCTCAGTTTCTGTGATTGATACCTCGGTGCAAGTTATATGTTAACTTTTTCCAAAACCATAGAGTTTATATGGATTTCACATTGTAGACCTTACTTTATGAGTTTTTTATAATCAGTCAATTTCTCTAGCTATGACAACTAACCATACCTTCTGACAAGTACTCATATTTTCAACTACTGCATTTTAATTCCTGTTGACTATCAGTACATTATTCACTTGTTTCACAAGTGCAACTTTTAATTTATACGCAAATCTACGTGAAATAGCAATAAAACTTTAGTTATGCGGAGTTCCTGATCAATTGTTTGTTTTAGATTGAATGAAATTAAGCTTAATGTTTCTGTTAATTAGCTTGTTATTAATTTAATTATACGTTTCTAATCAATTATATGTATAGATATTTCTAAGTGTATTACACAAACTTTTGCATCCCAATTTTTAATTTTTGGTTAAAAAAAATACGCTCTTATTTATTGAAAGGCCTGATTGATTATATTAATTTGCAGTACTGTTTATCTAATTCTTTTTCTTCTAGATGAATTTTATTAAAATGTTCTTAGAATAATAATTTTAATTTATTTAAAATTTATACCTGAGTGTTCCAGACACATAGTAATGTTATTATGATTTCATGCTAAGTGTTTTTTAACTATTAATTTCTGCAAAACATTTACATGATTACTTTAATTAACAAAAAATATTTCTAACACACTTTGGTACGGAATCTTTTGCACTATATTAAATTTTCCAGTCTAGTTCAGACATCATGACTATTATTGATGTAAATTTATAATAAATATAATTGGTATGCTTTATAATTATTTAATTTACAATATTATTATTATATTGTTTGCTCTAATATTATAATTAATGAAAGATGTTTGTAATGCGAATATCTATGTTTACTAATACCTTTTATTTTCTTTGTTAGCTCTCGCATTTACTACTGTTATTCAAGTAATTAGCCTGCTTGTTAGATATTCTTTACTTGTTCTTGTGATTGTGATATGTAATTCTATTCCTTTATTTTTATTTTCTTCTTGGATACAACTGGTTTCGAAAAGTAAAATTGTAACCCTGTAGGCAACGGGGGGGGAAGAAATTTTGATTCGCGCAATTGGAGTATACTCCGTAGAATCACTAATACGTAAATAATGTATCTTGCAATGAACTTTTGCATTATAAATTTCTCACACAGTAATTATGATGCTCAAAGCATTGGGATCATTTTATAGTATTGGATTATTATTATTATTATTATTATTATTATTTTCATCATCATTTTGGCCACGTTTCGACAGACAATATATTTCCCTACTGGGATGGTATACGATTCCATTTGGTTCACTTCCATGATTGGACACCATCCCAGCGGCGTACTTCTCTATATGTTTGCATATATGCTTCCAACTTTTTTGTTAAAAATCATCAATGTCTGGACAGTTGAATGTCTGGACAGTTGAAAGTTTTCTCATTCATGACAGTATCAACTTTATTAATATTATTTTTATTTTAAATATTAAAAGACAATATTATGTGAAAGGCACATGGGCTTGTTAACTGAGTGCAAAACAACTCTCATAGTAAAGCTAGACTTGGTATAACTTTTAGATCCTTCACCTTCATATAAACCCCACCGTTAACGTTATGGTTGAAATTTATATTCTTTTTCCATAGTTCTCGAGGAGTTAACGAACTAGACATATGAAGATTACATATGTCATTGAAAATAATTTTATCACTCCTGAAATTGGTGGTTCTTGTCGTCACGCTGAATTCAGATAAACACGACTCTTTATTTCCTTTATGACTTTATGATTAATAATCTATGACGATTTACATCAATACCTCGTTGAACTCTCTCGCCACACCTCTTCACACACTCACAGAGTTGAAACTTTTTTATCCGTCTACAACTTTTCCCGCAACGATCATCAAAAAACAAAGAGGAAGGAAGTGAGAGAGAGAAACAAAAAAAGACAGCGAGAGCTAGCAAAGCTAAGACAAAATATTTTTTTTTTCCTTTTACATTTACATGATTAGCCTTGAGCCGGCTAGTGTGCTAAAACGGAATTAACTATAGTTTTGCAGAGGATGTAAAAAATGTTTTAAGGCTAAATAGGCATAAATAGGAAAGAACAGGTGCAAAATTTTATACGTATTCAGATGCAATGGGAGAAATTTAAAGGAAAAGATAAAATACAGGGGATAAAGAAAAGGTCATACAACGTGAGATTTAATGCATGGAAATCTTCAATATTATTTTATTTCAGTTGCAATTTCATCCACCAAAATCATAGCCCTCTTGAATTGGGTAACAAATTCTTTTTTACATTAAAAAAGAATGATGCTTGCTTAAAAATACTTTTCTAGTTCTAAATGCATGAATAATTAGCAGCATTTCTTAAATTATTTATATTGCATCTATATCGCCTATTATTTTGATTGTTGTTTATTTAATGTTCTACGCTTACTTTTAATACTAATTTCTATGCCTACTATTATTGCTGATTTGTTTTTATACTTACTATTATTGAGTTCTGAAGTAAAAAAATATGAACCAAGAGATTTAAAAAATCATACTTTCAGATAATTTAGATGACTCAAATATTTTGCAATTATGTCTAAAAAACTTCAACTAACTTCTGCGTAAATCTTTCTTCATATACAATACTCTGTTTAAATAATGAAATCTGCACCAAAATTTACCAAAAGTTACATAGTGTGTTTTCAACAGTAATAAAATGTAGTAAAGTCTTTCTCAACAAATTATTTAAATAAATACAGTCAAAATACTTAGCATTATTTGATGAATTTCTTAAATTGGAAATAGACCGTCTGGAAACCTCTAGCAAATTATTCGAGACATCCTCAGTTGGGCTATAGTTTTGGAATATCAAGCACATTTCATGCAGGTAATAGTCAACGGTCACTTTAACCATTTTAACATCGTTTACTAACAAACTATGAAAATACCAAAGCAGAAGCGGTTTTTATTAAATTTTAATTAATATGGAATTAATATCAGACTACATCTGAACATAAATCCAACAAATTTTGCAAACTACATTTTAGAAGTTCTACTTTAACTGTCTACAAAAAGATATATGTATACAATCCAAGAATTTTTTTTTTTTTTTTCAAAACTAAAAGTTCTGACACTTAAAATGATATCTCTAAAACTACAAGTTTAAAACTTACCGATAAAATAGGTGTCATTCTGGATGGTTGATCATTTGCAGAAAAGCTGTCCGCCATTTCTTTCAACTTTTGGCCAACTTCTTTTATCCTCTGATTTTTCATCTTTGATCTAAAAAAATATATTTAAAATTAATCTTTAAAAAATATATTTAAAATGAATCGTCCTTTCAGGATTCATCATATGTTACAATGAATTTTTGAAATAAGATTCACTATTTGTTTTTCAAGATTCCACATACATTCTTTCGTTCTGAGGTTAAGGATGAGGCAAAGCACACCAGAGTTATCTTCCTCATTTGTTATGAACATGCCTGAATAAATATTTATTCCTGGAGTCATATTTACCAGGAGTGGGGAAATTAAGTATTCAGCAACATTTATGAAATGTGCATACCTCAAAAGGAAGAAACAAGAAACATTTCTCACACTGTTTATTGTAAACTTATTGATCCTAGTTTAAGGAACTAATTAAAAAAATTAAAAATTCACATCGCAATAGTTTTAGTCTCGTATTGAACACATATGGTAAAAGTATCTGAAAATAAAAATTTTACACTAGTTTTCTACGAAGAACATTCCAAATATTAAGTTGTTTTTTCAAGTTTTTTTAAAATCAAAACTGGTCAGCAGTACATGAAACTGGCCCTAAAAAAAGTTACCAGTCTTTGATGAAAAAACATTCATTTTAGAGGATGGTGACCAAAATTTTCGATTATTAAATATAAAATTTTGAATTTTAGAAATTCTACAAAAAGTAATTTAACACTATCGTTTCACAAGGAACATTTTTTGAAGTCAAACATGTTTTTTAGAAATTCGTTTCCGAAAATTTAATATGTGCAACTGCCACTGGTTCGGTTACAGAAATTTTCATATTGCTGACATTTTAAGCCTACGAGGTCCGTTTAAAATCTATACACCTTTACTAAATGTTATCATGAGACCAAAACTGTCGCAATCTGAAAGCCCAGCTTATCTTATATATTTCTTAACTCCAATCAAGCGTCTACAATTAGTCATTGAAGAAATATTTATCCGTCTTACCTTTCTAATACACTTTATAAATACATAAATAAATAATTATTTTAAGCATAGCATAATTTAAAGAAATGATATGCAACTGAACTAGCGCAAGACATAAACAATTGTTACGTTGTCTTTTACACGCGGAAGTCTGTATGTTTACTATATAAAAGCAGGCGTTAGGTAAACAAAAATTATGTTTGTGGGATAGATAAAGAAATGTTTATTTACCTTTTTAACTCCACCTCAATAAAGAAAAAAAGCAGCGAGTAGGAAAAGGAGCAGTTAGTGATAACGCAATGCGAGACGGAAGTACATATTTGACCATAAAGAGGTTTTTTTTAGAATTAAGAACTTTTTTGGAAGATGTAGGTAACTCTAATGTTTCACTAACAGAAAGACTGTGGAATGATCTTGCAAAATTGTAAACTCTTCTTTTTATACCGTATATATCCACAAAAAAGGTGCAATCTGAAGAATTGACAGGAGGCGAGAATGGGATGTTTGTTCTTTCTCAAATGGAGGGTTTATTGCAGAAGGAATCATTTCTTCAATGAAGAAAAGAAAAACTAGTTTGCTAGACAATGGATCTTGCTGGGTTCAAAATATATAGAATCCGAGAACACAAAGTGACATCATTTTGGATGATGAACAAATTCAAAAAGGCAAAGAAAGCCATCTATGAACTTTCATCACGAATGAAATTATTCTCAGAACAATTGGAGAATTCGAATCAGGGCAGTCAAACTGCGGCCATTGCAATTGAGTCTCTATCATCCTGTTCCACTGACGAATTAGATTTTGAGAAATATTTTTGGATAATATTAAAAACGCTAACTCAAAGCGAATGAAAATACAAGAACCAAGAGCCTTTCGACATAAAAAAACAAAAAGATTTCCACACGGCCTTTGAAGAAATAGAGAGATATGATTGCGCTTGCAAGACACCTCTTTTAGAACTTATAAAAAATCTATCCTGAAAAGTAACTTTAAATATCTATTGAACTCTATTACCATTTTATGTTATTTAAAATTATCGAAAACTTTAAAAACATTTAAACAAAATAGTAAACAGCTTTTAGTTGACAATGTTTCGAAGATATATTTTGTTTGGAAATAAAACTATACGGGTAACTGGAGTTCTAGATATCTAGAGTCTTCAGAATTGGAAATTTGCTCTATACATGTATGGTGCAATGAATAATAAATATTTTTTTACATTTTAGGATTTTTCTTTGATCCGTTAAAAGTTAATTAGTTCAAATTCCTAACACACAATAAAGCGAACTATCGGTGTGTTTGAATCAACTATATAGATTTGGAAAGAACTAAATGATTTTTTTTTAATTTAAACAGAACTTAGATCATAAGTGTACGTTCTTGTGCTAATAAAATTAACCACAACACGTGATGATGCAACTAAAGTAACAATCAAATTAAATTTAAAACTTATTAATGAAAGCGGCAGTTAAATTTTAATCTAAGCTGGCAGAGAATTTATAACTGGCGCATCAAAATCAAAAGTCGGCAGCAATAATGTAAAGCCGAATAAAAATAAAATTCCATACAGAATAAATACAACTTAATCAGAGCTGGCAAAACTAACATAACGTGCCAGCGAAAGCCTCAATCTAACAATCCAAAAAGCTCGGTTTAAAACGCTATCTAAACGATTTGCAGTCTGGTGAGGAAACGAAAAGGAGAAGTTATACTAAAGGCTGAAACTATAAATACTTGATTTAGTTTCAAAAAATAACCTTATAACATGTATGAGATATTTCCGTACTATAAAATCTTATAATTAGCACTATATATAAGATACTTAGTTACCAACGTCTTTTTATATGCATTTACGTATTTTTAAGCTAAACCCTGATTTTATAAACTAAACATATACGGTAGTTTAAAGCATACTTAAATATTAGACAAATATGCATACATATAAAATATGAAGCAAAGTATTCCTACTTAATGATTTAGTCTAAAGTCCCATACCGAATGTTTTTTTCCTTTCTGCACTGTCGATATTTCATAAATGCAATAAATTACTTCAATGTCAGGATTTAGAAACGCAAAATGCATAGTAAACGCCTAGATATCTTTCCACCTCTTTTTAACCTACATTTATGCTTTCCCGCTCTTTAACGAATTTCATGACGTAATGCATGTAACGTCATGATGTGATAAACTTAGATCACGTGAGATGCAGTGTTTCCGGGTGCGAATTTATTCGAGATGGAGCGAGTAGAGGAGGGCAGTGGGTATGATTGTTACGAGGATAAGGAGCGCTATGCTGTCTGACGTTGCAGACTAAAGCGAAAGCGCGCGTATTTCAGATACCGAAAGCTCTGTCGTTGGGTATGATTGTTACGAGGATAAGGAGCGCTATGCTGTCTGGCGTTGCAGACTAAAGCGAAAGCGCGCGTATTTCAGATACCGAAAGCTCTGTCGTCGACAGTTTGAGCCTTAGATAATGAATTTATTTGCTCGCTCTAGATTTGACGTCAGGTATCTCAGCGTACTCAAGTTTTTACTTTCCGAAAATAATTTAAATGTTATGTAATGTAAGGTAATATACGAGTAAGTTGCAACTCTCTTGGCCGTTACTAATCGATATCATGGTTAACGCAGCACACGCAACAAAAATAATACAGGTATTAAAGAACAAAAAATTATTTTAAAAAATCTGAAAGCTTTCAGATTACGCCCAGAAGACCTTTTTTTAACGTTTTGTGTGTTACCTTTATTTATCAAATATCATGTTCTTCGCACTTAATCCATAAAACTCAATTCAACGACAATGTCGCAAAATAATTTTAAAATGAGCATATCTTTAGAATTTCCAATACACAATCTCACGCGCTGGAGAATTTTTTTTGGGGGGGAGGGGGGGTCAGTGTTGCCATTGCTTTCACATTGTTGAGTTTGTTAATCAAAAATGCGTTAAGTGTTACAAAATATGAAATCGATAATAAAACAAATTCCTAATTCCAAATCAGAGCTTCCAGATGCCCATATTTGGTGGAGGATTACGTTACTCAAAATTTGATGGCTTTAGGTACCGTTATTTTATCACAATGCGAGAAACATGCACACATATGCAGTTTCTTCATTATTTAATTTCTTTAAATATAATACAGGGCTGTAATAGTTGGTGGCAGCAGTTTGAAAAGTGAATCAGCGCAGAATGAAAAAACGAAATTAATAGCCCTTCTGGCGTGACGCCCTTTGGGCTAAGAATTAGTGTCAGCTGTTCCAATTTACCGAGGTGATATAGAGAACGATGCCCACGGTTGATTTCAAGATAGTTATAAAAAGAACACGGCAAATATAAACCTGTTAAAATTTCTGTTAATATCATTCACGAAAAATGTGTATAATAATTAAAAGAAAAATATTGTGAGTAATTTACATGTAACTTGACGCAGTTTAATCTGAAAAATAATTTCACGCAGTTACATAAATTAAATCAGAATTCGAAACAAAAAAGGAGTATATTGTAAACAACAGAACAATAAATATCAGAAGGAAAAAAAAAAAACTAAATATTATTAAATGGCATTAAGGATCAGCACTTGCAATAGAACTTAGAACAATGTCAGTGATTTCAAACTTTCTTTCGCAATACCACTCCATCACGGTGCATCTGTTCCTTATTTTCATAGTTCAATAGAAGTTAATATGAAACAAAAAATTAATGGCTGTGTCGTTTGATTTATAGTTACAATTTATTAATTTAATTTTAACGGATGATTTAACGATATCTCGTATTACGTACAATTAAATTACACGGCATATCGAATCAAAAAATTTCCCGAATTCAAGAATGTCATTTGTCGTAACTAATGTTATCCGACGCATTTTCTCCCCCTCCCTATTTTGGAGAAAGTTTCGTTTTACGCTGATGACTGCTAAAAGTAAATTTCCCATTTTTCCGCAAGAAATGAACTCAACGTTTATTAGTCAGGGTTCGGTTAGCTCGCTCCCCCTGTCCCCTCCATTAATCGAGAGTTGACTGTAATAGTAATAAATCTCACAAAATTCGAAAACATCCAGATGAGATCGCATTCCATCAATATATCCGAA